CGTTATTGGAGGTGGGTGTGTTAATCTAAATAATTACCCTAAAATTTAAAAGCCATTTTGTAGACCAGGTTTTTAATTTTACGAAAATGAGTCTCGTTTTAATCCATCTGTGTTTCTCTCACAAGAGAACCAATTCGACTCACGAGGACAATCAGTCTCACGATCTTCGAGCGATCGAGTCGCATAATCGCATTTGCAGAGAACCAGGAAAAGAGAGGCGCAAAGCGACGAACCGTGAAGTTGGCCTCCTCGTCGGCAATTCCATTCTTTTTCACTTAAGCTCGTGTGCCGTATAATCGACAACGATCGGATACGCGCGGCCGGACGATGGCTGTCGAGGGTAGTAGGAAAATTTGAAGGTACGCGAAGGGATAGCAGTCCCATGGGAAGCCTCTCCATTGTCCCGAGGTGGCTCAGTAATCCGCAAGAATCGGATAGATTCGAGAATATCGACACTGCAACGCGACCCTACACGATTAACGCAACTCGCAAAGCGACGGTTACATCTTCAACGATTGTTGATTGTATCGAACAACGGCATATTGCTTTGTCATCGAGTGCCTAAACATCTGCGCTAATCGATCGGCAATCGTTCGGACTCTGTACACAGAGATCGAAAGTATAACTTGTCCCAGAAGACTTGCCCGAAAAAGAGATCATTCTAGAAACTTAAACCTATAAACGTTAATGTTTCTTAAAGTTTTCTGGTCGAGCACATGAGGATGAAAAAATCGTCATGGTTTTCTAAATCTTCTTCGCAGATTCAAGCTTGAAGTACGTGATTTAAGTAAGCAATATAACAGATTGCCAAACGAAGTATCTCGATTTTCGAGAGCTTCTTGTCCGGCGGCAACGTCGGCAGTAGCTTTCGCAGTTCCGCAAATGCCAAGTTGAACGCCTCCACTCTGACCCTTTCCCTAACGAGATAAATATTGTTCACTTTAGTAATAATCTTCCCTTCGTGGTAAAGAATTTTTAAGACACGTCATAAAACTACGCTTTTGAAATTGAATAAAATTCTTCGGACAATTTTTCCCGCTAACATTTTCAATAGAATACAAAGGGGTGCGTTATCGAAAGCACTTGTGGTGTCAGTAGAAGCACCAGAGGTGTACTAAGTGAATAAAAAAGGAAGGAATTCGTTAGTGAGGATAATTAGATTGTTTCAATAGGATTTTCAAACTTAGATAGGGAAGACATTAAGAAATTTTACTACAAACTGTGGAGAACGAGTCCTTGAACTAGTTTTAATAAATTAATCAAGGCTAGAAATGAGGCAGGAGTTGTTAGAGTCGGAATTGGCCGATGAAGAATATCAAAGAACGGTTTCAATAGTGAGAAATTGTTCTAAATTTTACTGACAATTCCGAGAGATGCTCCAAGTACTAAAATTATTAAGAATTGTGTTATACCTAAGTGATTTCTTCACGTCTCTATTTTACTACCCGTTTGTCTTTGTCGCGGGATTGCGATTCTGCGCTTGTCGTAGTCTTACCGTGTGGCGTGTGCGGTTCGATACTTTTGGGTGGCCCGCCTTCGCCTGCGTCTCTCCTCTCTCGACAAGGTGCCCGAACCAGGAGCGCCTACGCCGTTAACGGCGACTCCGTGGCCGCTGTTCGCCATGGGAATCGTTCTATCCTCGTGCACGAAATCGCAATTGAAGCTCTTCATATATGCCTCTACGTTTCCGGAAGTGTCCCTTTCAAAAACGTTCAGTCTCTGATCTACCGCGAAAAATTATCTTCTCATCTTCGCCCTGGACGTAGATTCGTATCGCAAAACATTGCTATCTCGCTTCTCGTAGCATGTAGCTGCAATTATAGTTACCATAACTGTCAATCGGGTATCCCAAAACGCGGATAACATTGTGGCAAATTCAATTTTGTTGCATGTAACGTTGCAAGTATCAATAATACGTCGACATTCGTCTTGTGTTGCAATGATCTTTTGTATAACTCAAGCTTCCGCTCTCAGTTCACATTTATTTTAATTATTAATGTCGCGATACAAGTAATCTATTTTGTCGTATGTTATATGTCATTGAAAAGGATCACATTAGTTGATCGAAACGTTCGACTACCATGAAGGTCTTGTACATTAAACTGTTGTTTTTCGTTTCTAACATCCTCCGCCGGCTCTTGCTGCCTTCTCTTTCTATTGATTTTATTGTTTTATTATCAGAGCCCTTAGATTATAATCATTCGGTATTTTTGGAAAAAGTCGTTAACAGACGCGAAATAAAATAATCAAATATTTCGCACCCTGGGGATTTGCGAAAGCCTACGAAAAAATGTAGCGCAAAAGGGTTTATCCTACGTTCCAGGGTATTGGGGTTCGGTGGGCGATAATTGGATAGCCAAATATTTGTCGATCACACAAACGTAACTTATGTAAGAGAATTATAGTCGTAAAGGAGGATAAAGTCGGAAGTAGACAGGCTTCAAGAGAAATGGAGATATTACGTTAAAAACGGTTCGCACTTTCCGTACGTGGATACGAAAAAGAAAGGAAGAACGCGTCATAAATTTCGGGGACTCTGGAATTCCATCGTGTCACCGAAACGGTCGTTTTGAAACAGTCGATTTACGAGAACGTTGCATCATTGAGAGAATGCGCGGTTCGCGATCCGCATAAGTGACTCGTTCTTCATCAAGTATTGACGAAGAGCAACCCAGGACGACTGCTGCCCGATCTGATTCTCATGGTAAACCGGCGATTTGTATGAGCGCTCGCCACTCTCTTTCTCCCCCCGCTCCTTTCTTTAATATTTCAAAGAAAACCACCAGATTTCGGGCGACAAGTCTCCTCGGCGCTTCTTTTAATATTTATCATGGCACTGCTATCCAGTCAAATCGATGCAATTCCCTGCGGATTTTTTTTCTATCCTTACGACTTCACACCGCACGATTTTATATGACCTCAATTTTGTAGAAACGTGCTCTTTGCAATTCTTAGAAACTGCGATTGTGACCTGCGTTTATATTTTAAAATTATTAAATTTAAATGGAAAATTTCAATGAAGAGAAAGGAAAATAAAAATTAATAATTCGTTTTTGTTTAAGACTGAAACAGGAATAGCGCTTTGTAATCCTAGAAAATGTTTTAAATGGTATATAAGTTATAATAGCACGCACAAATTTAATTTCGGAGATTCTCATATGACGCATCTCACATCTTTTTATAAAATAAAAAGTATGTTTTGCATATATATAGATTACCTACTTCTATATACATTTAACATGCTTTTTTATTTATCTGTCACTTACCATAGTCTCCCAAAATAAAAGGTAGACTTCCAAGATTTCTTTCGCCTGTTTTCATCCGGTTTGAAGCAACATCACTCTTCCCTGTCGTCCTCGATTAAATTCATCCACCAATTAAACAATCGTGCACAAAATCTTATCACTTATTATCTTCCTATTGTCAGCACGGGAAAACTCTCTTGCGGACTCTTCAAAATATTCCACTTTGCCAAATCACTCGTTAATTTATCGGTTCCGGATCGCGATTAGATCGACGTCGATCGTTAGCTTTATCCGCGGCAACAAGATCGCCTCTGACAACATCTCGATCTCCCGGCTTCGACGAGATCGTTGAGAGAGACAACGGGCAGCATCCCTGGCGGAAAAACTGACGTAGGGAAGGGTGAGTCTGGGGGGCCTGCGGGTAGGGGTTGTTTCATCTCCCGTAACCACGCCCTTGATTCCGCCGCAGCCTCCCTCGCCCTCTCGTTTCACCAGCATCCCTGGCGGTATCCCGGACGTTCTCCAATCGACAATCGAGAGACATCCCGGTGAACCCGCCCCGACACCTGATGCCACGTCGCCATTCCGCCGCATTTCGTAATTCACGCGACAGTATTTCACACAAGCCTCCTGGATACGCGGACCATTTTATCGATCATTCGACGTCTCGGCATTGAAGATTTTTGAAAAAAACCAATGTCGATTTCCCACCGCCGGAGACGATAATATTTCACCATCGAGTGCGTATGCAACGCATTTAAAATATTGCGCGTTCACGTTCTTTTAAGAAAGGATCTTTTGCTTATGATCTTTACCTATAATGAAATAAAGGTAATGAGTCAATAATTATTATTAGTAAAAATAGATCTGTGCCGTCATTCGCCATCGTCGAGAACAAGTAATCGATAGCGCGTCATCGTATCTGATTTTTTAAATAGATCTATATGTCTTGTCATTAACATTAGAACAACCGGCGTTATTTTGGTACACGTAAAAGTCTTATATATTATACAAAATTTCGGAATTAGAATGGTTGATGGAAAATTAATTGGCACACGGTAAAACAATGCTGTTGAATTAAAAAGATGAGGTTGCTTGAATTAAACGATAACGCCACAGGCTGCCACAAACATAAATAATTCACTCAATTGTCTTTGCTATGGATTTTAATTTTAAGCATTGAACTAAATATTCAGATTGAGACAACTATCTGATATTTTTCGTTAGTTAATTCGTTCATTTCGTTTATCGATGTTGTCTCAACGATTTTATTTCAATTACACTGATCTTCTTGTTTATACATCATTTTTTCCGTGCACATATAATTATAGTCTCAACAAAAGTCGACATAAATTCCAACAAAACATCTTAACAATTTCTGTAATTTAAAATAAGAAGCTTTAAATCCGTTATTTTTATGGGGTTGGTTGTTCTTGCGTTCAGTATCTTTTAAATCTGGAATTAGAATATTGTCCGCACATACCAAAGGTTTTTATAGCAGCAGTTTTATTTACGGACTAACATTTTCTATTAGACATGACATTTAATCTACACGATCGGTGACGCATCCCTCTTTTGCTGCGTCAGTGATAAAATCGACATGTTGTCAGACTTCAAGAACAAATTACTTGGGAACTTTAATTAAACGGCTACTTTATTACCAAGAAACGTGGCATGTTTCTTCTAATTATTTTAGTAATTATTAATAAAAGATAATATCACAATTGCAATATTTAGTACAACACTACTCGAGAGATGCTAACACGACGTTATTGCACATAGTTTTATCATGAAAAGAATTTATTTCTCTTTTGAGAGGATTGCTGTGACGTTTATTTTAAAATGTATTGTAGGAGCAGCGAGCAAATTGAGGGTGTGTTCATTGGTGTAGTATAGATTTCTTTGGAGGATCAGGTGGCGGACGCGTCGCATCTGCGTCGTTCGGCTATAATAATAATCACAGACGCATCTTCTGTCGTGAAACACTTTCATACAAGCCCGATATCCACTCGGTCCATTTGTATTTCGCAGCGACGTATAGCTGCAATCTTTTATCTCATAAAATACGCACGCAGAATGTTTGAGAACTTCGGTTATGGCTCAATAAAATTCGATGCGCTAAATTGACGTCGAAATTGAGAAAGAATAATTCAGATTAGTTTGGAAATTGTATTTGGAACGCAGAATTTTAGAAAGATCGAATTCGTACAAGAGAAAGAGAAATAAAATTTTTAGAAACCCCTTGATCAATTTTGATTTGCAACGCTGTTTTAATTATATATTTATTATACGCTTTATTTGTCGTATATGCTCAAATAATTTTTACTTCCACATTTTCACTTTTATTACTTCAATCTTTTCCATGTTGAGAGCTCAAGAAAAATCAATTTCCTTTCGAGCCTATCGTCCTTCCACGGGGCTCGAATGTTTGGTGCAAACCCAGAAAGGTTTAGCCCACCCCCGCTATCCCGCCGCCTCCATAGGGGGCAGAACCGCGGAACCCGCAATTATGCAAATTGGTCAATCGGACTTTAATCTACTTCCAATCCGGCGGCCAACACCCATCTCGGAAATTGCTCGCGCGAGGGTTGACGCGTGCGGTCGAGAGTAACTCTCGTAACGACGAGGCGCCGCGTGCGAATGCGCGCGTGTACGCGCGGATATGACCGATCGTCGCCGCGACAATCAAGGACGTGGGCACACGCCCTGCTCGACGCACGCGATTAATGTGTTCCACCGGGCGTCTCGGGTGTCACGAGATAGTTCACACCTCGTTACCACGATCCTTTTGACGGTCGAAACCCTTTTTCCCATCATTCCGCCAAACGCACGCCTTCATAAACGTAGTCACAGCTATTACGGATTTACGAAATAAGTATTATTGACGCATAAAATAAAGATTAAATATTATTTTCAACATAAATGTACCAATATTATATTTATGCGTGTTGACTTTTGCAGTGTCATGAGATTTTAATTAAGATAAATTATGTAATAGAAACGCCTACGACGATTAAAGTAACATTTTTCGCAATCAATTTATTTACAGATATTACTTTACCGATGCTTAATTAACATCGATTATTAAATTGATTGTCGAGGTATATTTTTTCGACTTCAGGGCAATACTGTGTTTCAAGACTGATAAAGTTATTGTGCAATTGTTGTGTTGAAGAAAATTAGGTACATATGTATATGCAAAAATATTTTTAAGCACGAATATCCATGCAGTATACCGTCATAGGCGTTTCTATTATATGATATATTTAAATATCGACGGTCGAGTTCACGTAAATTATTATTTAAATTTAACACAATGTTGAAAAATACTTTTTCTTCAGCCTTTAATCTTAAGAGTTCAATATATTATTATTGCAAATATACAATCGTTAGTTTTGTCATTAAATTAACATCACTAATATAATTAAATTAACGTCGGTTAATAAAAGATATTAATACATGAATATGTATTACAGTAGAGTTGGGAAAGTTACTTCATAAAAGTATCTAGTTAGAGTTACAGTTTTTTTTCCTTAAAAATGTAACTACTTGCAGTTACAGGTTGCCAATTCTGCAAAGTAACGCGTTACAGTTACAGTTACAGTTACACGAAAAGTAACGAATCGTTACCTTGCAGTCACTTCCTTGCAATGAAAATAAAAATATCAAATCTGCAATTTGAATTGTAAAGCGTCGATAAAGACGTTTATGCGCAAATGCAAGGCCTAATGCGTTCTGCGAAGGTTCAAATATATATAAAGTAACTATTAATGTAACTGAGTTAAGTTGCAGTTACAGATGGAGAGAAAGTAACAAAGTTAGAGTTACGAAAAAAAGTACAACCTCGTTACAAGTAACGAGTTACTTCCCAACCCTGTATTACAGTTATGTTACAGTTATGTTACAGTTACATACAAATACACATATGTATACATATAACTTGGGAAATAACACAACGTTAAAGAAATATATCTAAATGTTCCAATATTTACGAAGGAAAATTAACAACTACAAACGAGATATCGTCGGATTTATGCTCGTAATGATTAAAAGAAGAATAAAGTGAATCAAGTTATATGAAATAGCAGTGACAGCAACAGCACGAAACCTATAAGATAAAATCAATACTGAATAGTAGACCTTACCAAGAGACTACATTGTCCGTTACCTTCGTATGATCAACCCCTTGCGCTACAATTAAATTGATTTACAGGTGCAGGGATTTTATCCAGAGAGCTCAACGAGTCGATATTCCAGCGCAAAGAGTTAAACTTTCAAAGCTACTCGTTTTTATGTACTAATTAAAAGAAATGACTTCAGCTTAAAAGATAATAAGTAAACGTGCATATTGGCAAAAGCGTTCGAGCAATACTTTAATAACAATTAATTTTAGCAGCGATCTATGCGTTACACTAAACATTATATTTTTGTATATGATTATTTGGGTATAAAGTAAACAAATTTCTTATAAAATAAATCATTCTTTTCGATCCCGCATAGGAACATGGGCGTTCCTTAATCCTCAATTTTCTTTGCCGTCACACATATTCAATATACACATTCCTATATAACGTAAACGTCGGCATAGAAACATTTACGAAGCAAGTATACTGAAACATGTCAAACATTTAGAAAAGTAGCACAAGCGTAATATAGTATAGTTACAGAAAGAAAAGTTACAATAGGATTTATATGTCCAAATTAAAGATATTTCTTGCAAAGAAACGCTTCACCTCTTCATGATTTCATTATTCCCGGATATTCGCTATTCAATCAATATCTATATAATAAATATAATAATCAATGTGTTTGTTAGATATTTAGACGAATTATAAATAAAACATATACTCGACGTTGAGACAGCCGATTGAATCTCACTACTTGTCTTTCACCGACACCTTTTTTATGGTTGCAATCGCGAAATTGGCGCCATCATCGCCTTCCGATCGATGCCGCTTTCTATTGATTCCGTCCCTCGAATTTCTCGTATTCCCGGAGATGAAGGAGTCGACCTCTCTCTTTGATCGCCGAGCCTTCCACGCTCGTCGCATTTCCGCCCTGACTTCGCCGTTCAGCAGGCAATAAAGGAAAGCCACGAAGGCGCCCTATAAAGCACAAATGTGCGCATGAGTATGTACATTATGCCAGAGAGTAGGTCCTTTGTGCCACAAGTACCTGGAAGGACGCGAACAGCTGATCGCAAAAGAGCCAGACGAGCTCTACCCGGTAGTCCTTATGATAAGATAATCCCAAGAAAAAGGTATAGTGTATCCCGAAGAGCGGCACCAAAACCAGAGTCGACTTCGCCCATCTCCTGAATTAAAAATAAAAGTGAATACGCGTCTAAAAGCAGATTGTTTAATTTCATTTTTGAAAATATGCTTAATTGAACTTTTCATCGAAAAATATGATTTTTGCCGATAAATGCCCCCTCACGGGATATAATAAATGAATCTAAAATATGTTTATATCAATTAAAATTTTATACGTATTAACTTGTATTTCATCTTCTTCCGTTGCAAATGCACCGACGTCTTCAGCTTCACAAGCAAGACGCGGACGATGTTGAGGAACAGTAGAAAATTAAACTGAAAGACAAAGATAAGACCGCTTAAATATCCACTTCGGATGCCCGTATAACGTTATTCGACATACCAAAATGGATATGATAATTGGTATTCTTATGACGAGAAACAATGAGGAGTTCTGATAAGTTGTCCAGCAGAGAATGTCCTCGATAGTCAGCCGTATTATAATCCACGACACTACTACCAAGACGGGGAGACCTGTTTCATGGGATTAGATCTGAGTAAACTGCGACCCAATGAGATTTAAGAGGGTTACTTTAGATTCTAAACAGTTTTAAGTAGATTTACCCCATCCTAGCACAATATACAGAGTTATTGTGCTGGTGTCGGTACATAGTGCCAGGAAAACCAGGTTGTGCAAATACATTCCTTCCATCAAGATCCACGAGTAGTTTGCCACGATGAAATATTGCCAGAGACTCGTAATGACTTTGCAGGCCCAAGTCTGAAAAACGTCGATTAGTGAAAATGAGGATAATCCGTTTAAGAAGAAAGATAGAAACAACAGCCAGGCGGACAATTTGAAATATTTATATAAGCAAACAGAATAGCAGCGACGTGAGGATTTAAAGATTATTAATTATATATTAAATATAATTAATAATCTTTAATTTTGACGAAAATATAGCTTGTAAGATTGCCATAGAGACTTATAGATAAACAATCGGAACAGAGAAATTATAGAGAAAAATTATAACGCAGTTGAAACATTAAATAATTAAATATGAATCGTATCTTTGTCCTCTTTACATTGCGCTCCCTGACAAAAGCACTCTTCCCGTCGACAAAGACGACGTCCCAGGCCAATCCAATACCGTCTATAAAACTCCAATCCTTGAGGAGTGCCATGAAAGCTCTCATGATAAAGGACGCAAACAGATGCATGTGTAATCTATTTCTGGGATTCCTAAGTTTCCTACGTGTATATACGGGAAACGTGTTAGCGTTAAGTGGAGAACTCTCAAAGAAATTAAAAAGAAATGATAATTTGTGTGCTCAGGTGAGGAAGACACTCACCTAAGTAAGGAGAAAACCACCATGGCAACGATTAAAGTGGTGAACGAAGTCACGTATCCGATATGCGATACCATTCTGATAATCGGCAGCCATTTCTGTCAAATAATAATAATGCAATAACATATATAAACCTGCATATATAAACAAGTTTTATTTTAAATCTGTTGCATTCATGTGTTAGGCTTAAGGTTTAATTTGAAGAAAATAATCCCGTATATCTGTTGTAACAATCGCACAAAGTATAATTATATTATTATAGTCTAAAATTTTGTCATAACAATTAACTGCACATCTGTACAATCTGTACAATTAATTCATCTGTATGTCTTCTTTACAGAGAAATATTAAATCATATGTATTATAGTTACTCGTCAAGTTTAGAACTGTGTATAATATAGTATAACGAATTTTATCAATGGTAACATTTTATTTCTCACTGACGGAGCTCGAAGGAATATGAAAGCCAAGAAATTGCAAATTCCGTTCTTATTAATTCGCTCGCGGTTTACTAAATTATAAACGGCAGGCGGGCGGATTCCCGATCTCGATGCTCGCATAGCCAGGACGAAGCTTACATTTAGCAACGCGTACTCCGCCGGCGTTTCGTACCACCGCGAGTAAGTCAGATTCTTCTCGGCGATGTAACGCGTGCTGTTCAGCACGCACAGGCTGTAGTTGCTCCAGGCGACCCCGTCCGAGTTCTGGTACCACTCGCCGTTCGCCAGGCAGACCTTGCTGGCCACCGTGAGCGCTCTTAAATTGTCGCTCGCGAGATCGGTGTATCCCATGATCGAGGCCGGTGGACAGGGCAAAGTGGCTGTTCCTGGTGCGTCAGTGCTGGACCAGCAGAGTATACCGTCGAAGGTCGGCGGACATTGACGAATCTCTGTTCCGTTGCCTTCGTCGATGACGGCGCTGGTCTTGGCGATGCCGCGATAATTCTTCAATCGATCCTCATCAGTGACGTTGTCCCCGGATAAACTGATCCCGATGGCTTCCGACATCGCGTCGCCAAACATACCTAGCGTGGGCGTTCTCGTTGACGGCATGTCTAATTAACACGTAGAACATTCATATTGAGGTCCAATTCCGATCGATCGTCCAATTTCCAATCAAGCTTGAAGGGACCTTACAAACTCTTAAGACGTAAAAGATTTCTCGCGAGATGTAAATTTCGTAAGAATTATCGTGAGATTCGTCATTCTTTTAGAAACTAAATTAATTTTGAATTTTTAGTAATTCGTCAAACAGATATTTGAATAATATACATTCGAGCCTACCTTTGAGAAATTGATCGCATTTGCGTATTTGTTCGGCTAAGAAACGATCCACTTCAGTTTCTTCCATCCCGACGCTAAAAAAAGACACAAGAAAAATTTATCTGTATTATTTTCCTTTTACCTCTCGATTGCGAAACAATTTTCGTTCGATCATTCACTCCACTCATTCTATTCACGATGTAGAACTGCAATAATCCACGCATCTCTTCTACATACAACGTATCGTGCTTTATTATTTAAATCGAGACCCATTATTGTGCAAATTGAAGTCACCCATTCCTTAATGTTCCCGTTATCAGTAATACGAGACGCAATAAGTTAGAATACAAATATTTTGAAGAAATTTCTTAGACATACGCATCTTTTACGTCGCATCATTATTGCGCATTAACAATGCAACCATTTTTAGCGTTTCTTCAGTTTTTTATTATAAAATTTGTAATATCAATTTTACTCGCTTATTGCAAAAACTTCTGGTATCCGTAAAAATATGTGAAATACACTGCTCAAAAGAAATATGGCATAGAAAAATTTTATGCAAAAATTGGTCAACTTTGACTGACGGTAACTCCGCGAAAAATCATCGTAAAATTATGTTCTCTTTTTTTTAATTAAAGCCTGAAATCTCTACTTTAAGATACTATAGTTCTTTTTTAGGTGTGATGCATCCCTACCACTGTAACACCTTAAATGTGAGGGCATGTTTGTTATATTGAAAATTACAAAGTTTGACGGAGTGCATGGACTTGCTACATTTTTTTTCGGGGATACTGTTTACAGAAACATAAAGTACGAACCTTCCTCTTCAATTTAAAAAAAAGATGTCGCTGCCATTTTTTTTCGCAAGGACAGTACTTTAAAGTAACCCTTGCATTATTGGCACATACCAGGTTGCCGGTCGGATTTTGCACATCATATGGCCCTGAAAAGAGCCGTTTGTGTGTGTGTGTGTGTGTGTGTGTGTGTGTATGTGTGTGTGTGTAGAATGACTCATTTTTGGGGTGCTTGATTAAAGTGAATCCCCTTGCCTCTCACTTGTGTGTGTGTGTTTAAATTAGAAAAACGCGTATTTCCTCCGCATTGCTGAATTACTGCTTGCAGCCGATTCCTCATGTTAATGCAAGCCCTAATTTCCTGTGGAATGTGGGAATGTCATTCCATAGGAAGAAATTAGAGCTTGCATTAACATGAGGAATCGGCTGCAAGCAGTAATTCAGCAATGCGGAGGAAATACGCGTTTTTTTAATTGAAGAGGAAGGTTCGTACTTTATGTTCCTGTAAACAGTATCCCCGAAAAAAAATGTAGCAAGTCCATGCACTCCGTCAAATTTTGTAATTTTTAATATAACAAACATGCCCTCACATTTAAGGTGTTACAGTGATAGGGATGGATGCATCACACCTAAAAAAGAACTATAGTGTCTTAAAGTTTCAAGCATTATTTAAAAAAAAGAACATAATTTTACGATGATTTTTCGCGGAGTTACCGTTAGTCAAAGTTGACCAATTTTTGCATAAAATTTTTCTATGCTATATTTCTTTTGAGCAGTGTATTATAGTTGTATGTCGTAAATGAAAATAATTATTTAAAGAGATTTGATATAGAACCAATTTGAAAAATGTTAATTTTAACATTAAAAAATTGTTCCGGTTGTCGAGTCTTGAATTGAAAATCTTAAAAAACTTGCAACGAACTCTTTTCCACTTCCTAATCTATAATAAAACAACCGCTATTCAAAACGGACATTCACAATAGTTACACATAGTTCCATTTGAACACTATCGGAAAGAATGAATAAAATCCACCGCGTTAAAATTCCGATATGCTGTTTTAGCAACATTACTGTAAATAATACGCGAAAATTGACTTTAATCTAAACAACAAAAGCATTTCTCTCGTACCGTTGTTAACAAATTGTAATTACAGCGTTAGTCAAAGGTTCTAAGTAATTTCCTCGCTTAACGAATAGATCGTAATCTCTTTGCCGCTGATGCTCTTTACCGCACAACATTTGATATCAACGGCACAATCTCTATCTCTCACTTTAAATTTGACTTTATCGCAATCACAATTATCTTACGTTATGAATAATAGCGACAGCACTGTTTGGGCCGCACTTCCCTCGGGGTATGCGCGTGTAAGTGACCGCGGATCATCTGAAACTTTGGCGGAGAATCATCATTGTGAATAGGGCGGCTGCGCGTTGGGCAACACGCACGTGCATGCTTTTCCGCACCCCGGACCATCCTCTCGTAATGACGCATGTGGAAACAAACTTGAACAAGTATGTCAACGAATCGTTTGTCAAACAACACGTATTCGTTGCACGGCGAAGATTCGCAATTCCTAATTGCTGTCATTATAGATACTCTCGGCAGCAAGCAATTGCTACAATTTAATAAGCCTATTTAAAAGATCTCAGCAAAACAAATATAAGAATACAATGAAAAACTATTGTGTCGAATTAAATATTTTTTAACATCCAAATTGACGTAGAATTTCCTAGCCGTCATATTGCGTGTACAAATTCGTGGTCATTTTAAAACTTTAATATTCATTCAAAAGTCTATAGTCATTCAAAAACTTTAATATGCGTCGTTCTCAAATGCTCATAAAGTCACTTGATGACTGCCAATTTCCAGCATATTCTTTTATCATTACATCGTCTCTAATTTAATTTTTTTTAGATTAATTCGCCAGAACTATTTTTAAAATTAATAAAGAACTCTAGAACTCTTCGGGGTGCATTCAGAACTTAAAAAAAAAAAGATTTTTTGAGACATGAGGTGCCAACTTCATAGAGGTTCGTCTCTACCTAACATTATCATCGTTCGATTCTTTCAGTTGTGTAAATATCGTCAAATGTTCACCATACTACATGCAATGTATTTATGAGAATACAAACAAATCAGTAGGTAAATATGATCCATCAAAGATTAATCTTTGAAAGTTCCTTTCGAGACTGTTGTCAATATTAGCTCAAACCACTAGTGGTTTGAATTTCTAATTATGTTATCCGATTCCGACCCAACTTCCATATCAGATACCGATGACGCGACGTAAAACAGATGTCGATATTGTTATGGCTCTATCAAGGATATAATGATACAATTTTCAAAGATATGTTCCAGTGAGAAATAATTGGTCGAAAAGACGTTGAATCGAAGAGACATTCAGTCGAAGTCTATTCGAAGGATTTTACGTCGATTCGATAACGATTCAACACCTTTTCAACTATTATTTCTTACTGGATGTTACTTACGTCCATTTCTATCAATACAGATTAACTTTCTTTCGATCTTTTTTCTAATTCTAAGAGTTGGAAAGAGATGAAAAGCAAATTGAACCAAGATTAAAGTTAAACTACTTTGTAGAAGTGGACATTAGAGCCACTTCGACGAAACTCCGGTTAAAGTAATCGACGATTAACTTTCAATGTCACCAACAGCCTTTCTGCCGATAAGAGATTTCTCTCCCGTACAAAATGTATTTTCATGTCACGTTGACAACTCTGTTACTTGAGTTAATCAACAATTAAATTAACCGGGAGTTGGTCGAAGTGGCACCAAATGGACATTAATATTTTCCACGTGGCTTTACTAATAAATATTGATATATTATTAATATTAATTAAAATAAAAAGTATTAAAAATTTTTTACTAAAATCTTACTAAAAAGCGAAAAAAGATGTTATATGATAAGCTCAATGACAATGCAAAATCTAATAACCATTTCAGATGTGTTATATGTATCTCACTCTCTTCATTGAATGTAATATCTATGTAAAAATATGCTTTTCCTGGCAAGCGTTCACGACAATGTTTTACTCAACACGCATATTCAATAAGAAAGGGAACAGTCTTTGCAGGGAATAAAGCAAGAACAGCGTGATGTATTCAAAATTCACTTTATGTTAAATCCGTGTAAGAGACACGTCATAACAGAGTATATCTTTCTGCTCGGATCAGTTCGAAGAACCGTCAAAACACACATACACACAATTGTGTCATATTTACATACATTCATCGTTGCGGACCGAAGAGAGTCGCATAACGTAAGTATACGTACCGTAAATATCACCGTCCTAAAATCGCGTAAAATTCTTGTTCTTCAACGATAACCGATAAATTGTTATCATTACTCGTAACGTTTACATCCACATCTATCGAGCCCTGTTTCACTAATCGATATTAAGACGAACTTGACATAAGAAATATCCGGAGGAGTAATTCGTGCGCTCAATTGCAATCTTAAAAATCCTTAGTACCTATGTTAGCTTGTATTATGATGTCACAGGAATATCAGTGTGAAATGATAAAGAATTTAAATAGCAGCAATCGGAAAATTAAATAACAACAGTTAGTACAGTCATCGGCAATGAATCGTTTCGCAAGAGTGACTTGTTTCTCCACTCTAGCCGATCGACGATTGTCAACGAGTGAGGGAACAACAATTCCCCTCTCGCGAAACGATTCACTGCCGGTCAGTGTACTGCCTTAACTAAATCGAAAGCTCTCTCTTTCTCTTTCTTCCTCTCCCTCTACCACATTTTAATAACCGTTTGAATTTAATACTTCTTCACACGAGTGACATCATAATTTAAGATAATATGGGTATTTAGTTTACTAAATGTTATCACGATTTTACATCTCGTATCTGCAAACGCACGGGAAAATTAGCTCCTCTTACAGCCATCGATATCGGTAAGTGTCAATAAGTACAGATATTCCACAACGTCCCTTCTTATAATTCGCATCACATTCCTCACCCCCCCCCCCCATCGTCCCTCGTAAGCGGTTCGCCTATTCGTCTTCGCCTACTTATTCGCCTAAATAACCGTCTATCGATTCGCCTAATTATCTCAACTATTTGTCTCTATCTACATACCTATCTATATATTATAAGTTGCTCCCTACGTCGTTGCGAAGTATGTACAAGTTTTCCCAAGAATCACTCACGTTTTCTTACTTCATAGGCCACGTTGTACTACGGGGATTGAGGGGGCGAATTCCACGCGCTTCTCGTTTCGCAATCGTGATCGCTCGCTTCGACAATCGTACGCACCTTGGAATTATTATAATTGGGCAAGTTTCTTTGCGTAAGTTCTATCAGTCGGATTTTTTTTTGTGGTGATACGGACGTCATCTTCCGCGCGGGCAGGACTTGATTAGAAATCACAATACGATAATGAAATCACAGCGATTTCATTATCAGACCAAAAATACTACAGTGTGATGCCTCTTTTTTTTTCAAACTGGAGAATTATCACATTAAAACGTTTTTTTTTCTTATTTCTTTCGTACACACAGATTGCCGTACAAGTGACTGTTTCTATTTCAAACCAATCATGAATTAATTAAATATCCGTTCGAGGAGTGATATAATCATATTAAGCTCAATTCTTTTCAATTCTTTTCAAATCGACAAACAATTCAATCTCTTGTGAGATAAAGTCCTTAATATTGTTCAAGTGAATAAAGTAGCAGAGAGATCCTCGGACGTATCCTTCGTCTTCCGCGCGCGCAAGAAGCGTCCAACGATTGTGTCACTCTGCCCTGAGCACTTTTACGTTGACAATAAGTAATAAATTTCTATTAGCGTCGCGCGCTGACGAATCTCAAGCTCTCTGATATCAAGCGTTTTCATCATTATACATTATAATTTTTAATATAGACGACTCGCAGATACACAAATACTCTTTCTCTCAATCGGCATTCGTTACGTCAGAACTGCTATATCACCACATGCATACACATACCTTTTTCGTTACTTGTTACTTATACTTTCAGTAATGTAATCTCGATTGTTAAAAAGCTAAATTATATGTATATATATGTATGTATGTATGTATACATATATATGTATATAATGAATGTGTGTGTATGTATATATGTATACGCGCTACAAAACTGCCCCTGGCTGAGGCGTTCCAGTGATAAAGCTAGTCTACGATCGTGACAGCCTCGGTGTCCCCAATTCATGGGATCCGAGAGATAACGCGATAATAAGCTTCCCGCGCGTCGACATACGTATGCGTCGTCCTTTCTCTCTCATTTGCTAGTTAAAGGCTCCTCCTCGTTAGCTCTAATTGAGCCTCTATCGAGGTAGTACCTCTCGATATCAGGGCACGATGCACAATTGTTCCAATTTGTCTCAATCGTGCACCGTCATGCGGTATACGTGATTAAACGATTAATATATAATAGAGTACTATTGAGAATTTTGGTTATCATCAAATCGACAAACAAAAGAGAGGGACAGAATGTGATATTTGTTGGAAAGTACGTATTAAAGGAGTGCTGGAAAGTTTAAGAAGCTCGAGCGCGAAATTTTTGTACTTTAACGCAGCGGAAAGTGATACCGAAGAACAGCCTAACGAATAACGTTGCAACGAATATATTAATTTTGTTGCAATAATTTACAAACGCTATATATTACTTTTGCAGACATTATCTTCAAGACAGCGATATCATCTAGACATCGAAAAGAATTAAAAGCGACGTTCGGATTCCGAGCGATTCTATGGATAATAATCACAAAAGCATTCCATCGATAGAATTTTCACGGTTCCACTTAATTATAATCGTTCGATTCGTTAAGTAGACGCTTATAAAACTAAGCTCGCGTGAAGCTTGATTCCGAACCTCCACGTAAGAGACTCATTTGTCCTAACGTTAAGTTACGTGTCCCAGCCACGCGTTCCTCTACGTTAAGTTAATGCATGTTAGTTCAAAGTCACGGCTCACACGCTTTGCGTGACCTCTCGCAGCTTTATCATATTTGCATATACATTGCATACGCAGAGAGAGCTTCTTGGCTACTCGTTATATCGACGACGTTCGCCGAAGAGATCCTTCGGCGTTTGTTTCTCGCGAGTAAGAAAGCCGCCGAGTGGTTTATCGAGCGGGAACGATTGTCAGTTTCGGCAGAATGTGCAGTATCGAAAGGTCCCATGGTTCACGAATACGCGATGTCATTGCGCGTCGGACGAGATCGATTTCGACTACCGAGAGGACTTGCGGCTGACGTCGCCGCTTCTTGCGTAGCCCCGTTTTTACGTGTTTATCTGCGCCGCAAGAGCAGTACTCGTGGCACGGCTGGTGGATAGTCAGCGGATCTCTAACGATCGGTCAGAGACATTTCCCGGGATTCTGGGAACACCATTGCGGCCACATAGACTCCGTCTTGATGCCTCTGCTGTTCAGGACTTCTACATGCATGGCTAGCCTGGTGTAAACATTCTCGTCCGTGGAGTAACTGTTCGTCGGTAGGTCACTCCTAAAATAAAACAAAACATTTCTCGTCATGAGAATACTACTGGAAGAAATCGTCACGTCTCTGCCACATTACATCACTTACCATAATCGTTCAGCGAGTGCCGATGCCCTGGGCCATAGTCGAGGTCCCAGGGACGACTGTCCCGTCTGTTCGCTCCAAATCGCCGCCTCGCCGCCGAGCACCAGAGGCAACTGCTGCGGCGGATAGTCCTTCCATGGACGGTGATTGTAGACAGTCTGCCAGGTGCGGTATTCGCCGCACGCGGCCTCGCCGCTCTCTCGCCATCTGCCGAAGCCGCAGTCCAGATACCACGCGTCTACATGCGACAGGATCACCCGGAAGCCGTCCTCCAGCAGGTCCGGCGTTTCCGGCCAATTGCTGCCGCCCCAAGACTGGATCACGTGAATCTTCGGATCGAAGTGCATCATGATGTAAGGCCTCTTGGTCAACGGCGAGCTCCACAGGATCACCGCCTTCGGCACCTTGTCGTGATTCGCTCGAATCAACCGCTGCAACATCTTGGTCTCAAACTCCGCCCAAAGCGCGTGATGGTCCGTCATGTTTTGCGCCTGCATGGCTAGGGTGATGTTGCCATATTGCGCCCAGCACTCGAGATTCACCTCGTCGCCGCCGAGGTGCACTAAATCGCGCACCTCGGTAAGATCTAATAGCTCGCGGTACAGACCCTCGAGTATCCGGTACGAGTGTTCATTTATGGGATTCAGTTGGCCGCAGTTTGGCTCGCCACAGTAGGACGACCACGGCTGCTGATCCACGCACAACGCCAGCTCACCAAAGCCATGTTCCGCACCTGATGGTGATAAAAATTAATAGTGAAAATTCTATGCCAATAAGAATTAATGTTGTACATACAAACGATTCTACTTATATCCGGAATTTAACATCTTCTGTGGAACTCACCCCATTGCCAGCCGGCGCCGGCGTGGGCCGGAGAATCGATCTCGACGACGATCCTGACGCCGCGTATCCTCGCATAATCGGCCAAATCCTTGACATCGTCTGGTGTGTAAATGTGATCGCCACTGTAAGCGCCCCATCTGGCCATCTCCGGGAACTGCGCCGAGTCGAACGGGAAACTCTGGGAATCGGTGAGGTGCCAGTGCAGTGTGTTGAGCTTCGTGGCTGCCATGCCATCGATGACCCTCTTCAGTTCCTCGACGGGAAAGAATTGCCTGCCGGTATCGACGAGAAGCCCGCGATAAGGGAACGCGGGCTTGTCCTCGATGGAGGCTCGCGTAAGGACGCGAAGAGCGCCCTGCTTGCCAGTAGCCTCGTCCCACCAGATCAGCTGGCTGAGGGTCTCGAGACCATGCCGCACTCCGAAGTAGCTCCTGCCCGTGATTCTTGCCTCCAGGACCTTTCCCTTCGGCGTGACCTCCAGCTTGTACGACTCGTCGGTATCCAGCGTCAAAGTGCCCCGCGCGTTGCCAGCGCTCAGATACACGATGAACGAATCGATACCGGATCGACTCTTGGCGTTCAGCACCTTGACCAGACTCCTGACGTTCCCTGCGATCAAAGGAACGTCTCACCCCGAGTCGAGTGTTTGGTACCGGAATCGGCCTCAATTGTTCTATTCTGTCTTCATGCGGGCCTCGGAGTCGGTGTAAAACTCCAATTTGAGGCCCGGATGAGTAAAAAAAAGTTGTGTTCAACCTCATTCTGACCATCAAAGAGAACATGATAGAATGTTTCACCCTCTTTGAAATCTCTTAGGCCGAAGAGGATCTACCGGACCTCCGTTGATTACACTCGCACTGGCCTCTTTACTGCTAAAAGGGAAATAGCGACTCGGGCCTATCTGAGGTCACAAGTTTTATGTATTTTCTCCGGCACAAAGACCTTAGTTCGACCTCGTTGCGCCCAGTTAAAAAATTATACGAGTCTAAACCGAGGCCAAAATATTCGACTCGAGACGTAGAAAGCAGCGATTCCTCGTCAATTTAATTACGCGAGGCAATGTGAGCATTGCTTAAAAGGAATTCAGCAATTTCCCACCGTACAATATAAAACAGTGACTTCAATCTTAATTAAAACGACGAAGCTGTTGCATTTAACGTTCACATTACTCACCGATGAAGACATCCTTCGCATGTTCCAGCAGATCCTTGGTCTCCTGATCGCTCGTATTCACGGTGACAAACTCGATCTGCTGAAGATGCAGGATGACACTGTCGTCGCCGAGGACGACGCTCTCCGTCGGTCTCGGCCACAACAGCCGAGTGTTCCCTCCGCAATGCGCGGTGCAGGTCGCCAAGGATGTCCTCGAGGACCTGACTGCACGTCTCTCGCATCGATTCGCCACGCACGCCCAGGACCACGGACTTTGAAACGTCCTACGATCGAGTGGAAATTGAGTTTGCACCTCGATCTTTCACGTAACGCACGGGATGCTTTTATCGGGCAATCTGTGGTACGACTGTGGTGATAGATATTGATTCTTTCAGATCAAAATGCGACAAATCTCTCCCTTAAAAGGGGGGACAAAACTTCGCTTTGACAAATTCTCAAATACATCCAACCGACGCTCGTCGTATCACGGATTGCCAAGCGATCGTGTTCCTTCTTTGAGCGAGCCAGTTTACAGACATCTGTCTCGCAATCGAAATGTAGGAAACGTTAAAAATGACAGGTACATTCAAGGGGACAACATGCGATTTCATCTCACAATACCATTTTGCAGGTTCGAAGTGGCGGTTGAGAAACTTAATATGTCACGGGGTTAGTAATCTTCTCCCCAAACATTATATTTATATGAAAGTGTTATAATAATATGTACACACATATCGTATTTAATAATTAAGTAGGCTCTTAAATAATAGCGATTTGTGCATTTGCGAATTGTGCGCGCGAAACAGAAGCAAATAAGGGAAGCAACAAAGCAGCTTAACAACGTCATAAGAAATTAATATAGATGATTAACGGTAGAAAAGTCACACGAAAAGTTTAATATCGCTTTCTCGTGGATTACTCTATGTGGACATTAAATATAGATATGTTTTTATCTTGGCGAAAGAGCAAATATTTAAAAACGTACAATATTAATATTCGATAATTAAAATAAACATTAAACGTTAAAAAAACAGATCGCGAGTAATTCACCTCGGAGTACAGCAAACAATTTCATAAATTAAGAAAGCGAACCGCGAGAGTCCATTTATTTTGGTAGAGAGAGAGAGAAAAAAAACGAGATCAGATCTACCTACCGCGACTTTTATTCCCTATGTCGGTCAAACTGATGATATCGTACCTCTGGCAAATGAAAAGCTCATTACAACGGCATGGGGAATGAAAGTGCAAAAAGCGATATCGCCGGCGTCGTTCGAATTAGAAAAGCGGAGGAGAAAGAGGGAGGCTAATGTTTGCCGAACGAAGAGAAGCGCCCAAGAAAATAGCCGGCATAATCGTGGAACGGAATAACGTCTGCCCGAAGTGGGAGAATGGAAAAATGAACGAGGGCGCGTCGAACGGAGGGAACGCCTGAAAAATGAGTGCCCCGATGAAATTCGAGAGGCAAACGCGGGTGGAGCGAACGGGTTGGGTATTTACGCGGGTATTTTTTTTTTCGCGACGCAGCGAACTAATTGAAAGATCGGCCGTATCTCGCGCTTGAAATTGCTACGAGGGCGCGAAGGGGGGTCTCTCGGGGGTTCTCTCGGAAAACCGCCCTCCCTAAAAAAAAAAAAAATTTGCGTTCTCTTCCAGCTTGTCGCGAACTCGCGGGCGTGCCGCCCGCGTTGCCTCCGAGGGCGAGTCCCGGCTCCCCGGAACGGAAAGGCCGGCGGAGTCGGGCTCGCGCGAAGCGAGCCCAGGAACAGACGGCGGCGACCGTGCGATTCGCGCAACGTGGCGAGACAATGGTGCGTAACAATAGCGGGTGCAGGCGTGCGTTTAGTATGACGGGCGTGCGCTCGCGTAGCGAGTGGATTAAACGGGCGAGCGTCGGAATGAGGTGCGACGAGTCGCGAGAGGAGGGCGTGAGAGGTACTCCCGGAGGGAGTGCCCGCGTGGAAATTCAGGACATTCGGGATTTCGTTCGCCGAGACGACCGACGGTGTTGCAGGTCATGCCTGGACAGCTTCCTAATTGGGGGGGCAGGGGGGGGGGCAACGTCCGATCGCGGCACCGGACGGCACGTGACTGGTTCCGAGGGGGGGAGAAAAATAAAATAAAATACAAGACGAGAGTAGAGCGGAAGCGTATAATATCGTCGAACGCGATAAATTCGGTTTATCGGGAGTAAATCTGGATACATACTGGATACATAGATTTGGCTATTTTTGCAGACGATACACACATATAGACCTTTACGTATATAAATCCTTAACGTACGATTGATATCGGATTCTGTCTTGCAAAATTGAGGACTCGAATTCCTCTCTGAAATGCAAACGCGGTTTCGTCCCTCTGTAAAATTTAGAACTCGAAAAAGAGAGAGGCTGCACGGTTTTTCCCCGTAGAACTTTAAACGTTTATTTCCCTTTTTCGTAACAATTCGAAGCGAATTTTTGTACAGCGCCGTTCGATACGCTGCAACACCGCGAAAATGGAGAGGGTCGTCAAAAAATGCTCCCCCCCCCCCCCGAACCAGACACATGGGCGCGTGAAGAGTTGGGACCAGACCAATGCAGGGGGTTCGAATGGAAGATATGCGCGGTATACATTTCGTCTAGCATTAAGATTCCACCCCCGGTCGGGGGCTGTCCGTTACCTAGGCTCTTCCAGATACTCGTAGAGCCGTTCCCCGGGTCCGATCGTGGTTTCATTACCCACCAGGTAATTAACCAAGCCGCGCTGCAAGTCCTCTAGTCTTCTTCGATGCGCACGATTTCATCGCGTTGCGAGTGCGAAATAAATTCAAAATAAGAAACAAAAAACATGCAGTGTGAGAAAAATCATCAGAAGAGGCGCTGGATTAATTATACGCAGCGCGGGCAAAGGTACCTGCGCTGGCTGCGTGTTAACAGAAAAACACAGAAATATTGAAAAGGAAACAAAAAAATTAAGCGATCTCGCGCTCAATCTTCACCTCTTGCCTTACAGTTTTCTCTAAACTCTTGGGAGATCTCTCTCCTCGTGACAAAAAAGAAACAAAATTCTACGTATCACAGACGTGAGTGAACGACACGAAAAAAGAGCGGAGTCTCCGGAGAGACCCGCATAACAGGGCGGTAGCGCGTGTCCGCGAATTTATTTCGATCAACGGAACGTCAAGAGATTCGCAAGATTTTTACTCGCCGAATTGTCCGCTCGAGAGGCAGCTAACCACGCCGCGATTTAAAAAAAAAAAGTCACTTACCGTCGCGTCGCGAACGGCTGGAGCGACGCGAGTGGCGGGGCGTGGGCGTACATGGCGATCAGCAGAATACCGGTCATCAGGACGAGGAAGAGGAGGATCCTCCTCATCCATCCGCTGGGCATGCTACCCACCATTCTGACGAGTCTGCAAATAAACGAGAGGGGAAAATTATGCGCTTGCGGATATGCCGTGTCAATCGGGACGAGCGACGCCCCGATCGTTTCGATCGCTCGCATTTCAACGACACCGGCGCAACAAGATCGGCAACGAACGCGGGATCCTTCGCGTTTACCTGCCTTGTCAGTCGCCGGGTAGGGTAAGGTGGGCCACCCTCGGATCCGAGGATCAATTTATCTTACGCTACAGTGAAAATGCTAAAAGCGAGTAGCTTTATTTATAGACACGGAATTTTATTTAGGATGCAGAATTAGTCTCCAGATACCAAATGCGGACTAGCAATTTGATGAGTCGTTAATGAGCGACATTTTAAAGCGATTCAATGAAATTTTGCTCCTTTTATTTATTTACAACTATGCTATATTGGTCGATATCACAAAAGCGAGGGGGAAAACCGCCGCGGGCGTTAATTGTGGTGTACAGATTTGCGGCATTACCGGGCATTACTAGGCACTTTTTGGGCATTAGGCCTTGCTGGGACATTATAATATAATAAGATAAAATAAGATAAAACGGGATAAATGCCCACTGGGCATTAGTGGGCATTGGCGTACAAGATTTCAGTCAGCGGTTTCCCCCACGCATAAAAGGCATCGATCATGTTTTCATGTCGCTTATTAGCGACCCGTCAAACTGTTGATCCGCACTTGGTATCTGATACGAAGTTGGCCGCCTCACCCTACGATCGCACGGAGTCGCCTTGACCCGACGAGGCCCGGGAAACGCGGCCTGATAAGGAAAAGTCGTTCAACGTCAAATGTAAGTCACTGGCACGCGTTCTCCACTCGGGGGGGGGGGGGGAAGGGGATCGTGTCTTTTTACATTCTATCTCTCGGAACATTTCCCTCTTTGATTGCGACACGCAGATAAGACGTCGCATTTACTGCTAAACGCGTAACAAGGAGACGTGGATGTACAGTTCGTACCGTGAGATCCCCGGATGCTGACACGCGGGAGATAAGGCGTGATTTACGTGGAAGGCACGTCGGCACAAAGCACGCGCACGGGCGACCGAAAGGAAACGTTTCCCGCGGTACTTCCGGCGATTCTCCTGGTGGAGAAACCTCCGTTCCTCCCTCCTTCCTCTCGCCGGGCCGGCGAGGTACGAGGAGCGGCCGCGGCGAAAGTGTTTTTCGAACGTAAATGCACGCGCGTAAAAGCAAGCGCCCGCTCTTCCGCTTTATGATCCCGCGAGGATTTATGGACCCTCGCCAGGCGTCGCCTATGCGATATTACGTAACATTTCCGTCGGAAAACCGAGCGAATCTTCATCCCTCGGCGATCCGATTCGCCGCGATGCATCCGACAGCGGCTCGGTTTATCGCCCGTGTAAATACAGCGCGAAAGGTTCGCGTGGGCGCGAAATACCTCGCGGTATTTCCGGCGACAGGCCGAATGAAATCCGCGGATCCGTCGTTAACGGGGGATTTAAATGTCGCTCGCGAACGACATTCGAGTCTTTCACGTCAACTACATGATAATAATACGACAAACAATCAATGAGACACGCACGACTTCGTAAATAATCGATTCCTGTCGACGAGGGAAACGATCGAATTTGTCTTTCGTGTTTCTCTTTGTGCACGGAGAGAATTTTCTCGTAAAATTTATCCTGAAAACCATGTGATCGTGGGACAACGCGGCATTTTAAAGTGAGTTTTTTTAATTTTACCATACATTTTACTAGTGAAATATGCACAGAGTATAATTAATAGTGAAGTGTATGGTAAAATTTCAAAAAGCTCTCATAAAGTTGCTCGAAACGCCGTGTTGTCCCACGATTACATAATTTTCAGGATAGATTTTCGAAGGAGAAATTCTCTCCGTGTAGAAGAGCGCGCGCGGCCTGATACTTGGAAAATAAAAGCAAACCAATCGAGGACACTGTGTCTCTTTAGACGACCGAGCGTGTGCCGTGGCTCGACCTCACTGTCGTCTCGTCGTAAAGAGGAACGGCGTCATCGAGCGTCGCTACTTATCACGGTGAGTCTAAGGGCCACCTGTCGAATTGCACAGAAATACACCTTGGACGCCTAGGCGAGATCTAAGCTTAGCTCGTTCGCCACTCGAGATGCTCCCGCAGTCTAGACGGAACGTGCGTTCCGATTACTACGCAAACAACACTTGGCACCTCTCGGCGCTTAACTCCGAGAATAGGCGCTTTGGGTTTTCGATCACCGCCGCGTCGCCCCGAAAATGAATCATAATATCCCATATGCTAATTTATTCCGCTGTAATCAAGACCCCTGACGTCGGGCGGGCCGTGCGGCAGTCGCGGGAGAGGCAATGCCAATCGCGGCATTTTCGTGCGCCGCTATTTTTCATTCCTCGTGCATACTCGGCATGTTTTGCATTTAGGCAGTTCTAATGACATTCGTGCACGAAGCCAAGGTGGCTGTGCGAAATAGAACGGTGCACAACTCGAAAAAAAATCGATCGCAGGCAGCGGCAGATTTATTCCGTGTCGAATGAGAATTCTCAATCGGGAGATTGGTCGAGGAATTCGTACGCGAGGGAAGAAACGAAAATTCTGACGCGCGTACCGTGCGGTGCAATGGGGTAACCACAATGCAATCGTGGGACAGTGTCTCCGAAACCATTATGAAATCCTTACGAAATCTCCATGTAATCGTTTTGCCTTTATTTTCAAGTTTCTTCACTTGTTAGAACATTTTTGAACATTTTCTCAGCTCGTTTTCATTTTCCCTCAAAATTTACTTCTTTTAGTGAACATTCAAATATGTATCTTAGTTCAAGCCTATAAGCGCGTTTTTTTTATAATAAGACTGAAGTAGTTGCTGTTAGGATGAGTTGATACACCTTTGCGCGCAAATTTAGAACAATAAAGAGTAGATACAAAATTACTTCTCGGTGTATGTCGAAGTGAGCACTTGGAGGCAAAACGTCTTACAGCTGTTAACACAAAGAATTTGGCGGAGATTAAATGACGTAACATATAAGTGAAGGGTGGTTTTTAAAGACAAGTAATGCTAATTTCAATTTCACCCTTTCTTGTCCGATACAAATACAAAATTACTTCTCGGTGTGTGTCGAAATGAGCACTGGCGAGGCACAAAGTTTTACGACTGTTAGCACAAAGAATTTGGCGGAGATTAAATGACGTAACATATAAGTGAGAGAAGGGTAGTTTTTTTTAAAGGTAAGTAATGCTGATTTCAATTTCACCCATTCTTGTCCGATACAAAATTACTTCTCGTTAAGACCACGGGTAGACTGGTGGGAAAAGTGGGAAGCGAGGAAACACGTTTTCTACCTAACCGAATCCTACAATCTTAATTGAAATTACGTCTACAAGCAAATGCTTATTAGTAAAATCAAAAAGATATAATGTTTCGAGGAAATCTAACAGCTCTTAACAACGTCGCCTATTTTTAAACGTGCATATACGGAAATTATTTGCAATTGCAGATGAAATGACTTGTAATCAGATGACATCGTATGAAGTCTAACAAAATCATGTAATCGGTGGGACAACGTTTTAGCTAGTGGTTACACCCCTCGGTGCTACGTACTCTTCTAAAACGTTAACATTTGTTGCGCCGCATAGTTCGATACAATTTTGAATAAACAATTAAACGCCGAATGGGTGTTTCGGAATAAAACGAAGTAAAAAAAAGACGCGAATATTGGTGCGACTGTATTAAAAAAATGCGATGAAAACTTGGCCCTTTGTTGCAAAATATCATCCGGGGCAATAAAAATTATAACAACAGCTAACGCGCGGTTCATGAAACAATGCAAATGACATTTAATTCTACATTTCGCTGAACAGCACGTGACGTTTAATTGGGCATTTCGCCGGGCCGCAGCTACGACGATCGAGGAGCCGCGTCTCGACGGGTACGCGCGACTTTAATTCCCCGCAATTCGATTTCTCTCCGCGCGTGTTTACGGACTTTGCTCTCCGCAAACAGGGTTGATCGACGACGCAGGGAACTTAAACGACGCACCCGTCCGCCGACGCACAGGCGGATCTATCAATTTCCACATTCGAGAAGCCAATTCCGCGCGGAGATCCGATCGAATCCCGCACGACACTTTGCCCAGATGAAATACGATACCATCGTGATACCTATGTGGCGACATCGGGCCGCGACGAGAGACTGGCGATCTGATACCACACCACGCCACGCCAGGCCGCGCCACGCCACGCCGCACCGAGGCACGTTGCGCGCGAAGCGACCAGCTGGCCGAAATTCCACCCTCGCGCGCGATTAGGCGAGCGGGTGGTTTAACATTACCGCCGCGCCGGTACAAAGGTGGCGTAGAGTACTTTCCGTCTCCCTTTCTCTCCGCGAGCACCTTTCTCTCCGCGGCAACGGTGGCGAGGAGAGAGAGAGAGAGAGAGAGGGTGGCGGCGAGGGTGGGTTATACGAGTCGAGAGAGAGGGTGGGTCGAGGGAGCGTGACGCGACAGGGTCGACAAAGTCGAGGATGGTGGGAGCGACGGGGACGGGGACGAGCACGGGGGTCGGGACGGTGGCGGTGGCGGTGGCGGTGGCGGCGGCGGCGGCGGCGTCGTCGTTGCTGCCTCGTGCCTCCAGCACACGTGAACTATACCTAAATGCCGTGCCTGGCCGCGAATCGCGTGGCGTAGCCAGGCAACGCGCGTGCCATGACCACCGCCGCCCGCCGATAGTCTCCGGCGAAACGGTACTAAGGACGGACCGGGGAGATTCGCCCGACGCGAAGAGCGGGACCGTCGTCGACGTAGCGGCCTCCCCGGTGCGCGACCGCCGTCCACGTCGTCGCCGACGCGGTTGGTCTCCGGACGGACGGACGGATGGACGCGGGCGGGCCGAGACACCGGTCAGGATTGTCATCGATCGCCAGGGGAACCGCTATCGCAGGTGTTCGGCGGACGAGCGAGCGAGCGATCGACCGGGCCGACCGGACCCCTCGTACTCGTACACTGAGAAAAGGTCGCTCTCACTTGGCAAATTGACA